CCCCCCCCCCCCCTCTCTCTCTTTCTCCTGCGAGGCGATACACCTGGACGCGCGTCTTCTTCGTCTGCAACCCTGGCGAACGAACGAACGAACGAACAAACGAACGAATGAGACGGCATTCATGGGCATCGTTACGCCCATTAAATCATAAACCGTGCTTTGACCTCACAGTTGCCCTCGGGGTACCGAAAGCTCCATACGCATTTCCGGTACTAGGAATACGTGAGCGCCATCTGCGAAGTAAGGTACCCTGAGAAGGTGCACCCTCCTAGCCGAAGAAATGGACGAAGAGATGAACGAAGGATCAGCATAATCAGAAAAAAAACCCGACAATTTCTGACAATTTGTAGATCAATACTTGCAGCTACCTTTTTCTCTTTGAAAAACAAAATAAAGAACGATTTCATGGCGGACAGGATGGCATTCAATCGCGAAGAATGAGGATCTCTCCATAAACTGCATGTTGTCGTGCGCCATCTTGACTTACGTTTCTTTAACTTTTACTTCCGCTTCCTTCAACCGGGCATCAAGCATTTGTTATTCACAACTTTACTCTCGAAAATCACACAAACGCAAAAAAGAGATAGATATGTAGTTCTACAAGCTACGCGCTTAATATAAACTTACGTCTCGCGTTTGTAAGTTTGGATAAAGCGTTATGTCGACTGACATAAAATAAAAGCATGGACACATTCAACGCATCGTTTTGTATTTTGGGATACAATATTCGTAATCTGCATTAATTATTACTTACTATTAACGCTGTCTAATGTACTAACAAAACATCATGCGATAAATATTACCTGCATCCACATTGCGCGTAAGAGATGCAACGTATCTGCTATTCGCTGTATTGCGATGGCTTTTTTTCTTTTTTAATGATCTCGATCTTCACGAAGATGCTTCTTAACGTTTGACTTCAATCGAGACGCGATATCATCGAAACCATATTAAACTGCTTATCGACATTCTTCGTGCACATGTATTGTTATTATTAACTAATTGGTAAAAAAAAAGATACATTAAGCAATAGCCAGATGCCTCTATTAGAAATATACCGAATGCGTATTATTTTGATTGAAACGCAACCTACCTTGCGCTTCCGTCTCATCCCCGTGCATTGAATGACGTTGTCATTTTCCAGATTACTGCCATGCAATAATAATATCGGACTCTCGATATAACATACATGATAGTCCTAACGCACCGTTAGAAATAAAGGAATCCCTAACGTACTGCGGAATGTTTCTGGACCTCTAAATATATCCCAAACCAGATTGTCAAAAATAGGCATATGTCGGGCCCGTGGCCGAAACGCGAAATATAAGATTGTAACATCTCCGTTACTATTCAGAATCTTTTACGAGAGATTCAACCAAGTAATTCGCAACAAGTTTACGCGAACATATCTGGAAATATTTCAGAAGTCAGAATAATTTTTAAAGAATTATCAATAATAGCCGAAACTTTTCTCATATAATTGTAGAAACAAATTCTCGTATGTATCGTAAAAAATATTCTATTCTACCTCTCCATACTTTGGTGAGATTCTTACCTCTGAAATTTCTCCGTTATTTACTCGAAAATTTAAAAGCTTATCTCGCACAAGTCAACAGAATTTTGGCAATTAAAAATTAATACGAATTCGCAGAAGAAACTATAAATTTTGTGAAATACCTACCTGGCCCGCGAGAGTAAACATGACATCGGTAAGATCGTGCACAATGAGAATCTATCAGCAGAAAATCAAGTCACTTGATCGCAGGGACTATATTGTCAAAGATGATGAAGGTGAAATTTGTGTGTGTGTGTTTTCATAGGCGTAAAAATATATAAATATTATCACAGTATTTTTTACAGTTACTATGCTATGTACAAAAATGCTAAAATACAAACTAATCATGTGAAAGAGCCGCAATTATTCGCAGATTATCGTTAAAATCATAATCGATATTATTATTATTATTTGTACTCTCTGCATGTCGAGACGCGCGGTAGATTACAGTTTCCATATATCTATTTGATTGGGGCCTAAAGGCCCTCGCTTTGCCCGGCCTTGTTCCTCTTTTTACCTTTGCCTTCTCCTCGGTTCTCTTTCCCACGATATATAATACAGAATATCAGCAAATAATACATACATACATACGCATGCACAATGTCGATGAATGGGATTGATACGGGATATACAGGAGAGATTGTGGGGAGAGGGGGTGGATTAAATTAAAAGGTAATCTAAATACTAGCTACTTATTCTGCGAGAAAAGTGACAATCCAAATAACTACTCATGCTAGTTGCGATACACAACACGTTACACGGCAAACAATAAAAAAAAAGAAACAATGGACGAGACACAACAATGCTCAATAAAAAAAAGAAATGCGTTACAGTACTAAGCGTGCACCGCCGAATTCGCACTCACACCACCGATTCGATGAATCAAATCGTTGTCGCATGATTTTTCGAATAGTGATTTTTTTCTCCTCGATACGACCAATAGAGATAAATAAGTACTTCGAATATCCCTCGCGAAGAGAGACAAAAAGAGTATTTTCTATAACGCATGTAAAGTACACGACATAAAAAAGAGTATCGACACCGACGCTGCGAACAACACCGGCTTACAATAACGATATGCTTTTTTTCCTTTAATAAATAAAAAATGTCGACTTCCTCAATAAATAATACGATATTTAAGTTAAATAAAAAAAGTAAACAAAAAACGAAAGAGACAAAGAAAACAGAGAGCTGTTGGACGAACAAGTACTAGAACTGGAGTACTCGAAATTCTATCATTATTTTCACCGAGTAATTGATCACACGATGTTACGCTATATATTTATAACCTATAAAATAATTAATCAATTAATCCATTAATTATATATAATAACGATATTTTTCCTCGCAATGTCTTTCTATCGCACGGTGACTCTCGTTGATGCAAATACTACCGTATTTCATCTAATATGCCGAGCTTTGGACTTCGCCTACCACGGAAATCTAACCATATAGATATTGAACGACACTCATCTCATCGACAATCCGCTCAATCTGATTTCCGAGATCATCGATCACGATCCGTCTGCGATTCCTAAAACCGCTGACGGCGAACTTGCATTCTTTCGTTATGTAATCGTTGCAAAATAGAAATCACTCTTATTTTTCACATTTCAATGATACAACGCGCTTCCGTCGTTCCACCCTTTCGCGCGCGAGAGCGCAAAATTCAAAGCACGCAATATTTAATCGAGATTCACCAATATGTACATATACGCAATCTGTCTCAAAAGTTTTCGAACTTTATTTAAAATTCAATTACTTGTGTGATTTTTCTAATTTCATTTATTAATTATTCAAAATATATCCCATCTGAAGTAATAGAGTCTTTATAGGAATTGTACAATTTAAAAAATTGTATACTTTTTCAAAATGAAAAGAAAAATAAACTGATGATAACAAAACCATTTGTATTTCACACAATTTAAAAAATTGTTTTAGAATATCTCTTCATTTTCAACTTTCAAAAAAGAATGAAAATGAATACAGTAGACGACCAAACACATCTTTTATGAACACTGTTCAATATTTTGTTCAATTATTTTTCTTGTAAAAAATTTTCACTTTTAACGCCATAATAAATGAATTATACATCGCAAAAAAACGTAACTCTATAGAATTAGGAAAATTAAGTTTCATAAATAAAAATTATTTCACACTATTTCAATAGATAATATAACCTTAGATGACATGTAGAAAAAAAGTTCGGTAATTTTTTAAACAGACCATGTATATGTAAGAAGGCGATATACATATATTTACATACATATATGTATGTAACACGCGTGGATATATATTTAAGTATATACATTTGAGTAAAAACGTGTCGAAAGATTGGACTAGATTTGCGCGCGCGGAAATCGATCGTGTGGTCACACTGAAAAAAAAAAATATTAAATTAAAAAAAATATTTGTTTGAATAGTTCCAAGTAAATATTTACCAAATAAACATATATTTATTAGGTATGTAAATATATATTCATTTGATACAAAAACTATTTGATTTAACTGTCATTTTTTATTTTAAGTAAATATTTATTTACTAAAAGTAAATGTTTAGTTAGTACTATTCAAAGAAATATGTTTTCAGATTTAGTAAATTTCTTTTCGGTACACATATGAGACCAAACGTTGAAGAATACTCGATCGCAAGGGAAGCCTACAATCTTTTGCGCGCCCATCGTATATAATTTAATAAATACCATACGTGACTCCACGGCACGCTCGCCGGCGTGATACAAGTAATACATCGTCTAAAGGGAAATTACGTCAGTGGTATATGCCCAAAGAGAAATTATTTCAGTATATCTACAAGCCGCGCGCGACCTCGCGTTGGCGTACGTTAAAATAGTTGTACGCCGTATTTCTCAGGAAAGCAGAGTTAATTGTGAAAAATGACCCAAACGCGCACCAAAAATTCGCAGGGTGTTGAAGCATATTTTAAAAATACGAAAAACGTTACGCGCGGACATCTAAACGATGATTTGTCTCATTTTGTAGCAATCCGGGCTCTAAAATTCGGCAAATTAGACCGCTGTATTAATTAAAGATTTTTTAACTCCGCGCTCAAAATGAAATATAATTCGACCAACACGCACCGCACAATGTTTCACGGACGTCACGATACCTAATCGTAGTTCAATTCGTACGTAACATAAATTGCACAAATTGTCTTGCGAATAACAATAAGAATAAGTTAGTGCTCGCGTTGCTCTATCAAACCGAATCGACGAGCAGGAGATAAATCTCTCTCTTCCGAATACGTAATACACGAAGACTGACAGGAATTAGACACGACGTGATGGAAATTGCTCGAAGCAACGTTGAAGCAATCCTAAAAGGTGAAATGCGGCGGGAAGGGAGGATGGAGCGCGAAGGGCCGACGAGCGGCGAGCGCGTACTACCGTTGGGGGTGCGAGTGCGACATATGGGGATGGTAGGCGGTGTGATGGGGCGGCAGAGGCGAGGGGCATGATTGCTGGTATGGGCCTCCGGCGAGCATCGGGCCCGGG